CATTTCCACCACCCAGAAGTTTCCCTAGTGCCCCTTTCTGGTCAGTCCTTCCACCCCAGAGGCATCCACCATCCATCACTAGTGATTAGTTTTGCCTGTCCTTGAGCGTCACCTGTGTGGAGTCGCACATCTTGTACAGAGACTGAATCCCCAGGGCCTGGGGCTGGTGTCTGGCACTTGGCAGGGATGCACAGTGAGAGAAGCCTTGGTTCTTAGCTACCCTGTGACTGAGCACTGACCCCCTGGGAAACTGAGGCTGTGGGTGGTTAGTGAGCTGCCCAAGGCACAAGGTCCTCGGCTTAGTGGATCCTGGCCGTCAGCCCAGGCTCCCTGATTCTGAATCCAGTACTCTCTCCGGGCCCCCAGGGAGCTCCCCCAGCTCCTCCCTCAGGGCTCCCTTCTAGTACTCTTCACAGGGAGCCTGGTGATCCTGGGCAGGTAGTGCCCCCTGCTGCCTGCGGGGCCAGATCCTACACCCTCATTCCTCCATGCGATGTGATAGGATCATGCCGACCAGGGCCCAGTGCAGTGACGGGCAAAGGGCAGGGACTTGGCTCCTGCAGTGAAGTCTCCTGTCCTTTTATTTTCCTCTGAAAAGGGGTTTTCCTCAGCTTTGGGGGCTTTCCTTTCCCAGAATAAGCAGACTAAGGGAGAAGAGGCTTCTTTGGTGGAACGCTGCTGCCCCCAGGTGGGTTCTTGGGGACACTGCCACAGAGCAGGACATCCAGGCCCGGCGTTTTTGGGGTCTCGGGTTCTGCACTACTTTCTACAGCTCCCCAGCTCCTGGCCTCCTGGATCCTAGTGCCCTTGGTCCCTGGGAGGCAGATGACCATCAGAAGCATCACCCAGCACCTCAACCCCAACCAGGAGTAGGAGGAGGTTCTTTCTAGGAGAACCAATCCCAGCCGTTGTGGGAGGCAGATGTGGCCCTCACACCTCGGGCGGAGGGCGGGCTGGACATAAGCCTTGAGGGCTTGTCTTGTATTAAGCAAGGGTTTAATCGGGTGAGATCAAGGTTTGATCTCAGGGCTCGGTTGAGGGGCAGAGGCGGGGCGGGGGTGCTTCTCTGCAGCGGGGTGTGCAGCACCTCCGGCCTGCTGTGGGCGCGGGTGCCGCCCGCCAGCCCCTCCCAGCTCGCCGCCTTCCTGTCGCACCTGCGGTCGCGGCGGTGTAACGGCGCAGCCCTCCCGGCCCCGGCACGTGGCCCGGGGCGATGCTATCTCTAACTCAGTATTTTTAACTCTTCTTTCCAGAGGATGTGGCTTCTGCGGGAAAGCTTCAAAGGGCGCCCCCCTGGCCCCCCCGCTTGGCAGCCATGATGTCATGGAAATGGGCGGGGCGGCCCCAGGCCCCCAAACACCTGCCAGGAAGTAGGAGACTTTTTCCACTTCCTGTCCTACTTCTGGCTACTGACTCAATGTCTGACCTGCTTATTAATTTCAAAATATAGCTCTCTGTGTGATACTCAGAGGAAACCTTACTCATGTGTGTGTCTGGGTGAGATGAGGCCTGAAACCCAGGTGGCCTTACACAGAGGCGGGGCACCGGCCAGTCTGCAGCCTCCTGGCTAGTCAGTGGACTTACTGAGTGACAGTTCCGGGTCTGCAGGCGGCTTGCTCCCCGGCCCCAGACCCACCCGTCTGTCAGAAGCCATTCTTCCCACACACTGCTCCAGGAGGTAGTTTGCAGAAGGAGTTTTTTGTTTTGTTTTGTGTTGTTTTTAAATGGAGGTCCTGGATGGAACCCAGCACATGCTCTACCACTGGTCTATTATTCCCCCCACCCCTAGAAGGAGTTTTAAGATAGGACGTGTAGAGAAAGTGAAGTGAACGGTAATATGGCCTTTAGCCCTAGACCTTGATATGGTCCCTCAGTGACCAGAGCAATACTTCTGGAAGCTCTGTGTCTTCCCAGAATAACCATCCTCCAGGTTCTATTGGGTTAGTGCCTGCCTGGGGGCTGCCCTGACCACGGGGCCATCACTCAGGTTTTGCTTTTCCTGATAGTTCTTGAGAGGTGTACTCTTAGCTCTTGGCTAAATTGTGAAATTTTGGCTCACCGGGCCACCTCACCTATTAATCCCCGCTTTCCTTTCTCTTATGCTTCCTGCCCCCCACTGGCTCCCCTGCATCACGTGCAACTGGGCCCCCTCCCCAGTGCCTGATGGCCCTAATCATTTACCTGTTCACTTGCTGGTTAAGTGTATTTTAGGCATTAGTTGTGAGCCAGGCACTGTGCTAGGTGTGGCAGACACATGGATGAATAAGATAAGATACACTTCCCAACCCAAGGAGCACATGGTTGAGTGGATTTTCTTGCCCAGATGTTACCTGATAGTTAAAGTGATATATGTTAAGGGCTTATGTGTGACCCCAGAGAAGATGGATTTCATGGGAAAACCAAGAAGATAAACAATCCTTCAGGACTCAGATGGTGCCTCTCCAATGGTAGGTCTTAGCAGAGGGGTTGCTCTCTTGGACTGAAGACCCCACCTGTATGTTTCTGAAGCATACACCGGTCTTAACCTTCTCTTGACTGGACTATGATTCCATTTCTACTCAAAGGGCAGGTCTCTGGGTGAAGTGTCGGAGAATCCTCTAGAACCCTAGGCCTCGGGTTATAAGCAATCATGCAATCCATTCTTCTGCCTCCAGGGTTGGCCTGCACTTATGTCTTTTCAGGCAGTAGGGTGTCTGTCCAGAGAAATCTGTTCTACAACTGGCCTGGGTGACACATTTCCCAGGGGATGGTGTGTGACCTTCCCTCCTGGAGGCTGGTCCCTGCTCATAGGGACTGTGTCTCCTCAGGGCTAGGCCTTCTTATGGACTCATGACTGTATCCAGGTTTCCTTAGCAGCCTCTTCCCTCTTCCCTCCATGTTGAACAAGGCCTGGTGTCTTACTGCACTGAGGGGATCTTCTGCAGAGGCCCTCGGCCCAGTGCTGCCCCTCCTAGTGGGCATGGTCCCCCTTCCCCTGTGCCTCCTCACAAGGCTGCTTTAATTCCCTCCGACACCCCCAGGGTGGCCTGGGCAGACATGAGAACAGAGTGGACAAAGATGAGTGGCCCCTCTGCACCACCTGCTTAGCACACCCGCTTGCTCTGCCCTCTGACTCGGCCCTCATTGGCTGTAGGCTAACTGCTTCAGTCTTGAGAGAAGGTTCTTGCTGGGATCAAGAACCCCCTGGTTTGAGATGGGAACCTCTCACAGGCAGTGCTGTCCTGCTCTCCAGATGGTCTCCCACCTGCCTGACCCCTCATCACCCTCGGCTTGGGCTGGGCCTGGAAGGGTGGGTCTTACTCCCTCCATGGGTCTGGGTGGCTCCCTAGCCACTGCTGCCCATCATCTCATAGGTCCTCAGGTGGCCTTACCGGTCCAGTGTCCATGGGGCACTGCCATCTCAGGGCCCTGGACTGGCATGACTCCTTAGGCTCCCTTGGCCTCCTCCGAGGTCTTGTAAGGGTCTGTCTTTGGCCCCTTCACTGCCTTCCAGGGTCCCTGCTCCTGTCCCTTGTCCTAAGCCCTGTGTCCCCTTCAGCCCCAGCATCTTTGCAGCCAACTCTCAGGAGCAGACGTGTCTCCCCAGCCACCCACACGTTCCTTGCCTGGATCTTTAGTATACAGACCAAAGTGGATTACTACTTTAGGAGAAAAAAAAAAAGACAAACTAATTCGCCTAAAGTTTTTAACAGTTGATAAAGGCTTGCTCTGTTAACTCTCCCAGGCGCATTTTCATTTAACATGGGGAAGAGGATGCTTTAATTAAAAGAAATTCCCAGCGGTGGGATCTCTGGCATTGTGTTAGACTGAGGAGGAGGCAGTTTTGAGTTTCCCGCAGGTGGTACCTGTCCTGTGTGTGAGTGAGTGACCTGCTATGATGTGATTTCCTCTGAAACCTTTCCCTTTAGTGATCTTTAAGGCCACTTATATTTGGGCTGCACGTGAGGCAGCTCAGGGAGAAGTGGGATTTCTGTGACTACCCTTGGGAGTGCTGTGGGAGATGGACAGGGTTCTTACTTCTATAGAAGCCACAGAGTCAGAGATGAGTGGAGCTGGAGGCAGCTCCAACTGCGGAGCTCAGGGAGGGGAGGGGCCTGCCGAGCTGGTGGCTCCATCCCTGTGAAAAGAAGCAGGCCTGAATTGTAGCTGGAAGGATTTGCATGTTTCTGGCTGGTGTGGTCAGAGACACATCCCTTCCCACCCCGGGGGAATGGTAAGCACTGAGCTTCAGTCTTATTAGTTGTAATTGTGAGGTGGATGCCTGAGTGGTCTCTGGGGGTGTTCCCATCAGTGCCCATGACCCCACGAAAGGTTAGGAGAATCCCACCTCCTGTCCTCTAGGTGAGGGCTTGAGACATCTGTCTCCTTGGCTGAGTCCCTGGGCTTGAGGAGAGAGAGCTCATCTTTGTTCTCCTCATTCTCACACCCAGGGTGGTGGGAGTAGTCAGGCTTCTACCCACTTCCCTGGCTCCTTGACTGGGCACTCCAAGGGGCTGGGCCTTGAATGGGGACCCAGGCAGTGGAGGGGTGGGTGGTCCCCAACCATGAATTTGTAGAGCAATGCACAGTTTCATTGCGAATCCAGCCTGAGAGGGAAGGCAAAGGAAATGCTCCAGGAGGGCAGGAGACAGTGGGTGGCCTTTTGGGGACACTTGCTGGGTGGTCCCTGTCTGCCCAATTTCAACTATAGGTCATTACCACCCATGTGTCTGGGCATCCGGCTATGGGTGGCCCAGTGGTGTGGCATGAAAACGGAGGAGCAGGGACCCAAGCTTTTAAGTGGGTTTGCCTGGCCCCCAGCACAGCCTTCTGAGTGGATTTTTTTAGAGGTTATTCCAGGAAGAGGTTGACTTAAGCAGCTTGTTGAGTTAGGTTCCCTGAACGTCATCATGGACAAACGTCTCAGTTCTTTCTGCCAGGCTAGTGATCCGTAGCTGGGCGACAACCCCCCCGACCAAACCCAGCCAAACAGGAGCACAGTCTCTGCTCTTCCAAAACACTTTTTTTTTCTTAAACATTTTTTATTGAGTTATAGTCATTTTACAATGTTGTCAAAACACTTTTAATGAAGCCAAGGCAGCAAAACGTGGCTCAGATACACAGCAGAGCAGGGCCTAGATAATGAGATAATTTCCCCCACATCTTGGGGAAGAGGGTGGTAGGTATTTCTTTATGAACACTATTTAAAAAAAATACAAACTCTGCACAATGTGCTTCAGGAGCTAGAACTCAAGAGACCCCACTGAGGATCCATCACCCAGTGGGCATCGAGGCAGTCTCTGGGAGTGGGGAGGGAGCTTCTCCACGGCCAGGAGGGGCTGCAGCAGCCCCCGCCTTTGCCGGGGATGCCAGGCAGTGACAAGTAGCAATGAGGCAACAGAGTGGGTGGCGGCAGTGCTGGACAGCTCTCCAGAATCTTGATCACGAATATCTGGTGGGATCCCGTCGGTGGTATTGCCTAAGGCCAGAGAGGTGGATGGAGCCTTCTTGTCCACGGGGCAGAGAACATTCCTCTCTGCTTGAAGAGGGAGAGGACTGGCTATGAAGAGGAAGGGGCGAGGGAGCACATGGCTCTCATGTTCTTGGCGACCTGAGATGAGAAAGAACAGAAGTCAGGCTGGATACTGAGGAGACCCAGGACAGTTAGGGATGTGACGGGGACACATCTGTTTGTAGAGTTCTAGGAGCAAACGGACCCCGGGGTTCTTTCTGATGGTGGTGGAAACGGATGCTCTTGTCAGCTGGATGACCAAGGACGCTGGGTGCAGAGGGGTACGGAGCCAGGACTAGGGTGTAATATGAGTATAATGTCTTCTCACTATATTGGGGTCAGGAATTGATGGCCCCTTCAGGATTTGTAGTGAAAGGGATACAATAGAAGGCATGGGTATGAATGAATGAGTCCAGTTCTGAGTTTCTGTATTTCCTTCTATTCATTAGCTGTGTGGCCCTTGATGTTACCTGGCCTCAGTTTCTTCATTTCCCAAATGAGGAATAATTACAACTGTTCTTCATACTTTGTAGGGGAGACATGGCTCAATCGAGGTGACAGTTGTCACCTGAGGAGGGTATTGTGTTATACATGTGTTCCAGGGCCTTGCTATTAACAAGAGGAACTCCTAGCAGGAAAAAAAAAAGCATTTTGGCAGGCCCAGCCTTTGGACCTAAAAGCAAGACCCTGGTTTGCTTTTCAGAACTTGGGGACCCACCCCAAGACTGCCACACCCCACCTCCCATTTGAGATGCTGGCTCACCTCAGCTGGACCACAGCTGCAGTGTCATGAGCAGGTTAAACCCGACCATTTTCAGGAGGAGGATGCGGAACGCGATCACCAGTAGATTTTGGAAATTCAGGCTGATATCTGCAAAACCAAGGGGCCACAGCAGTCATTGGCACGCACGCCAGGTCTGCACAGGCCACGTGACACCAAAGGCAGGGTGGGGAGTCGGGGGGGGGTGCTTCAACGCCTGGGAGTCGCCTCTCCCTTTGAGCTTTGCTGCACATTCCCTCATAAACACTTCATTGCCAAGAGGAAACGCTAACTGCACTTGGTCCTCGTTTTATTTCTGAGCTCCCTCCGTGGATGAGGATGGTGGGTGCCAGAACTTATCACACACGATTCCCTGGGTCTGGGCCCCTGAGTGCGAATTTAGTGGCTGAACCACGAGAGAGAGGGATGACTCAGTAAGGGCTCAAGTGGAAATGAATATGGGCCTAGGGTCAGTGGTGAGGAGGGGTGGGGATCTTTGAGAGACAAGGTCACCGCCTACATGAGTTCTGCTGCTCTTTTTTTTTTTTTAATTTAAGGGGGAGATAGTTAGGTTTATTTATTTATTTAATGGAGATACTGGGGATTGAACCTAGGACCTTGTGCATGCTAGGTGTGCACTCTATCACTGAGCTATACTCTCCCCTCCTCTCTGCTCTTTCTGAAAGAAGGCAAAACCCCCTGGCTGTGGAGGGGGCATGTCCTCAGGATGCCCTGGTTAGTTTAGGGCTACATGTAAGCCGGTCAGAGATTTCACAGCCGGGCCACCCAGGAGCTCTCCTCAGCTCTGCTGACAGTGGAGCCATTGAAAGGAACACAGAGGCCCAGGAGTGAATCATGGGTCTAGTCAAACTAGACTCGTCCTCCAAGTACTTAGAGTGGAAGAGAAAATTGGAGGTGGTGAGAGGAAACTGGGGGTTCAAGAACACCCCCGGGGCAGCTCTGAGTGGGGCTCGGGATGCTGTTCTTGCTCCTCAGAACTTCATTCCCAGACCCACACCTTCCTTCCCACGTCCTCTATCCAGTCCGGGTAATTGTGGATTCAATCACCTCCCCAAACCTCCCCAAACCGGTATGAAGCCAGGATAGACCCCTCTCGTACCTGTTTCAAAGCTTTTCTCTACCAACTTGGGATTGCAGGGAAATTCTAAAAGAAGAAACAAAGATATTTTTTCTTAGAGTCCAGACTGTGCTGACCCTCCCACCCCAGAGCCCCAGGATTTGGGCTGGTGAACATTCACAGCCTTTCCAGGCTTCCTCGGGAAGAGATCAGGAGGGAACTGACCAGCACCCTGGCTTCTGGGCACCATTTCATTCACTTAATGAACACTGGTCGTGCTGAACACACGTTACATGACATGAGGCCATAAGGAGCCTTCAGACACAGACCCTGCCCTTGGGCATTCTCCAGTCTGCAGTCTGATAGAGGCAGGAAGGCAGACACTGTGACCAAAAGGGGTACGGATGCTTTCATATGTTCCACAAAGTTTTGATCCCTGCATCACCAATTTTTCTTCTCCTTCTCAGGAAATAGGACTACCATTAACTCAGCTGCTCAGAAATAAACTCTAGCCACCTTCCTTGATCCCCTCTTTCCCTTCTCATCTCAAATGGTTCTACCTTTGAATCCCAAACGTGCTGGACACTCAAATTCCCTGCTACAGCCCTGTCCCAGCCTCCGTCATCTCTCTGTTCCAATCGCTTCTTTTCTGCTTCCATCCTTGGCTCCTACAATCTATTCTCCACTCAGCAGTCAGAGCGCTTTTTAAAAAAACTTAGATTAAATGTCATTTCCCTGCTTACAGACAATAAGTTGCTTCTCATTGTACCTAGAACAGTATCTCCCTCTCATGACCTGTGAGGTCCTGTGATCTGGCCCTTGCCTACTCCCACCATCTCATCCCCTCCTGCCCTGCTCCCTTCTCACTGTGCCCCTGGCTCAGGCCTCCTTAGGGTCCCTTCTTGGCCCTTCGCATGGCTGGGACTTCTTAGCTTTGAGATCTCAGCCCTTCTCTGGCACGTGTCCCTAAGGTGGCTGTTTCCTAAACTCCAAGTTACAGCACATATTCCAATCTGGAGTTCTCTAGATTTCCAATTGCTAATGGGTGGTCCTCCCAGTAAAAATGGAGCTTGCTCGGGGCAGACCCCTCATCTGATGTGTTTGCTCCTCCACTCCAGCACCTGGCATGTTGCACATGAACAGTGATTGCTGAATGAATGAGTGAGTGAGGTCAGGAGCTGGGAGAGACCTTTGGTAGAGAGAGAAATAAAGGGAGGGATCTTGGAGAAGTGCATCACAGGAGGAGCAGTGAGGGGCTGAGCAGAGGCAGGGAGGTGGGGACTCAGAGCAGGTGAGCCTCAGGGCCAGTGCCCTGTCCCACTGCCTCTCCCCGTCTGCTGTGTGCCCAGGACATTCTGTGGTCTGCCAGGGTGGGACTCACTGGTGGTCAGTAACGAGAGTGTTGGGGGTTTTGCTGACAATTGATGAGGCCGAGACCACCAATCAGAGCAGCTTTCGGATACCAGGGACCTGAGCCCTGGGCACAACCAGGTCACTCAAAGGGAGGAGACTCAGCTTAGACAGGCACCGGGGCTGCACTCACCTTCACTGGCATAGAAGGTCTCACTGAAGGCATCTTGACATCCAAAACTAGTGCTGTTGCTCCAAGAGAGGACTCCGTTGCTCTTGGAACCTATGGCCCCCATGTCTAGCACAGTGCTAGTTGAGTTGAACACCTTGAGGTCCGTGGCTGGTAACTGTGTCATGTTGATTTGAGAACCAAAATCGGTGTACAGGCAGACGGTGGTGTCACTGGATTTGGAGTCTCTCAGCTGGTACACAGCGGGGTCGGGGTCCTGGATAACTGTGGGCCAAAAGGACCTGGGTTAGGAGATGCTCATTTCCCTCCTTTCCTCAACCCAGGCCCGAGTCCAGATGCCAGTGATGGGCAAGAGTGGGGCTCTGCGGGGCTGGCAAGTCACAATCTCAAGCCTTAGATGGGAAAGAACATACTAGGACATTCCAGCTGCTCTCAGTGGATGGGACTCAGGGACAGGCACAAGCCACGAGTCCTGGCCGAGGTCAGGGTCTCTCAGTGAACGCTCCCTGCCAGGTCCTGCCTGCCATTCAAGGACATCAGAAATGCAGGGCTACTTAATGATAATCCCTGTTCTTCTACTTAATAGGAACTTCTTCAAAAGCTCAGCCAGCCTCTTAAGCAACAACACAGCTCTGGCAGGAAAAAGCAGAGGAAGGAGGCCCAGCAAAGCAAACCACACATCTCAGAATCCGGGGTGGTGTCCCTCACTTAGGCTGCGCATTGGCAGGAACTGGAGATTTATGATAGGCTGGGCTTCAGTTAGATCGATAGCATCCCCAGGAGATTTCCCTCAAGGATAAAAGTTTTAGACTCTCAATCAGAACACCTGCGTCCCCGCCCAGGCTCCACCATTTACTAGACACAGGCCTTGAGCAACTCACAGCAGCACCTCAAGCCCCAGGAAATTCATCTGTAAAATGAGGATGTTGCCTCATCCAATTTCCTAACCAGACTATTCCGAGAAGCCATGAGGGTTTCTCCATATAAAATTATATTTAATAAACTGAAATACTGAGATAGTTTTAGTCATTGTAGCTCTCGATACTCCGGGGTTATTGCCGTGACCATGTGCTCCCGAGCACTACTCAGTTACCACTCTGCACCCCCAGGAAGCGGGAGTTGCCGGGGGCTCTTCTTCTGTGCTGAGACTGACTCTTCAGTATTTTCATAGGATTTAGTGTTTTTAATGCAACCCTCAGTGTTTATTCTTTCAGACCTCCTGCCTTTAGAGGAGGAAGCAGAGGTTTGCCAGGGAGATTAACACGTTGGGGCCACCCAGAGACTTGAGAACAATGTTGGGACTAGAGCTTCCTGCCCCTGTGGTTCTCTGCTCCCACAGCTCCTCACCACGCATGCAGAGTTTTTCAGAGCAGCGATGCAAGATGCATCAGCCAGCCAGGGTGGCCTTGGCAATGCAGATAGCCAGCTAGGTCCCAAATCAGGGGAATCAGCTCTTGGCATGGCCTTGGGTTGCTGAGTCAAGGCAGAGCTGCCTCTGGGTGGGGCTGTCCCCGGAACAGCAGAGCCGGGGTGGGTCTGTGGTCACAGGGGAGCGATATCCAAAGCTCTGGCCTCAAAGGATTCTGCCTGCTCCCTTCCAATCTCCATCTCCCTGGGAGGCAGAGGGTTACTGGGTTAAGGCCCTATCTTTTACTGGGTGGGGAGAGACGGGAAGCCATTAGCTAATACCCCAATGGATCTGTTAGTCATCAGTAGGAGTCCCAGGTGGGACTGGGGATGGGGACCTGGAAGGGTGTGGAGGTGCTGAGAGAATGTGGCCTCAAGAAGAAGGCAGAAGCTAAGGTACCACCAGACTGTTTGGCCTTAGAGGGGAAAGGGGGTGCTGCAGGGGCCAGATACCCAACTTTTTTTTAACACCTCTATTGTAGTATGGTTCCTGTACAGTAAACTACACAAATTTCAGGTGTACAATTTGATGAATTCTGATAGATGTATACACCTATAAAACCACCACCACAGTCAAGATAGCTAACATTTCCATCACTCCCTAACAGGTGCAAATTTTGAATTCCCAATTTATCCCTTCCCACTCCCCTTCCCCTCTGGTAATCATAAGTTTGTTCTCTATGTCTGTGAGTCTGTTTTCTGTTTTGTAGATAAGTCCATTTGTAGCCTTTAAAAAATTTTTTTTAGATTCCACATATAAGCGATATTATATGGTATTTTTCTTTCTCTTTCTGACTTACTTCACTTAGAATGGCAATCTCTATGGCATTATTTTCTTCTTTTTTATGGCTACCAGATGCCCAACTTTGAGTCCTGGTTAAACTCTCACTCAAGTCCTAGAGCTGGTGGGTGTCAGGCGGGAGAAGGTCTAGACCACACTGTCCAATGTGATCGTCTTTAGCTATGTGTAGCTGTTTCAGTGAGTAACCCAAATCAAGTCAAATTAAAAATTCAACTAACAATTAAAACTTCATTTTAAGAGCTCAGTAGCCACATGTGGCTGGTGCCTACTGCACTGGACAGTGCAGAGTGACAGAATATTGCTATTGTCACAGAAAGTTCTATCGGACAGCACTGGTCTGGAGGGAGCATGCCATAGAATATGAGGAAAGGCACCAGGGGCTGAGGGTGAGACTTAAAAGCCATCCCGAGGTCTGTGAGGGGTGCCTGCTAGGAGCAGGCCAGTTCTTCAGTTTTGCTAGCGAGAGATTAAAATGAAGTGGCAATTAGTGAAGTCAGAAGAACTGAGGTGATTTTTAGCTTTTATCAAGTCTTGTCTTTCCCAGCGGATGCCCTTTGGGCTTCCCTATGTGCATTTTTTGCTGTTGTTTCTCCTGTCCATCTTCCCCACCTCTTATCTCCTCTCTTGCTCACCCTCTCCCTGTTCCCCTGACTTCAATCTGACCTTTGAGCTCATCTCCCAAAGGACTTGTCTAGAGCATAGAGCTGACTTGGTCACATTTTGTTCAAAGTCATTCAGGGACTCCCCATTACCCACAGGATACTGCCCACACTTCCTGGCATGACATTCAGGGCCTGTCATGATCTGGAGAGCTTGAATTTCCTCTCTCAGGTCCTTTATATGCCCTGTGTGAGCATAGCCACACCAAACTCTTGGCTCCCTGGAATGTAAGCTCTGTGACAGCAAAGGCCTATCCCCAGATTACTGCTGTGTCCCTAGCATCTGCCACATAGTAGGTGCTCAAGAAACAATGTTGGATAAACAAGTGGCCTAGTGGCCAGCAGATCTGCAAAATTTCTGCTCATTAGACTTCTAGGTCAAAAAAGCAGGGTACTGATACCAACTACTCTATATAAAATAGATAAACAACAATGTCTTACTGTACAGCACAAGGAATGTATTCAATATCTTATAATAGCCTATAATGAAAAAGAATATATATATAACTGAATCACTATCCTGTACACCAGAAACTAGCATAATATTGTAAATCAACTATACTTAAATAAAGAAAAAAAAAGACTGGCTACTGATCCTTAACTTGATTTTTTTTAGCCCCCTTTTATTTTTACCCCCATGTACTTAGAAGTACACAACCTTCTTTTTGTCCAAAAACAAAAAAATGAGTCACTATTAATTTGGAGGGTTTTACGGATCCATCTGCCAGACCCCTGGGAGCAGAGACATCCTGTTCCACCTTAGCAAGGTAAACACCCCCCTACCATTGATGACATCTCGGAAGGTAGCCTTCTCAAGACTGGATCAGTTTTTCAGTGTGGAAGTCTGGCTGTTCTAGATCCTAACCATTCATTTTCATTCAAAACTAACCACAGAAGCACATGTTCGATGGTCCTTGTGTGTTAGATCCCCAGAGGCGCAGCAGTGGTTGAAAGCTCCCTTACCGCTAATCTGTCCTTTGCAGTTAGGCACCAGGAAACCAAAGTGTGAGTTAGCAACACTGACACTGAGTCTGAATCCCACTGAGGCTCTGGTGAGCATCAGGAAACAGTGAACCCCGGGCAGACTTACCAGGAGTAATGGAAACTCTGGATCCCTTGCCAAATTGCAGCTGGGAGGCAACACCTCCATACCACTCCCAATGTCTCCATTACAGAAAGCCTTAGGTTTCCCCTCCTTTGAGGGGTAGGGTGACCCCTCTCACAGCCCACTGAGCAAGCAGTGGGAGTTCTAGGCCATGAGCTGTCCATGGAAAGAGCTGGCCCCTCTCACCTTCATCCTGGTCTGCATTTCTGAATTGGATTTCCAGGTTCCCGGGGGCTGGGCCTGGCCCTAATTATCTGTATTCTCTTGAAGGCTCTCGTATTCCTTTTCTCCATTGTCTGTGAAGACGTCTTTGCCTTTCTCTCCATCCAGCTGTATTATCAGATGTGTTTACTTGGGCCAGAGTACATGTGCCTTATTCATTCCCAAGATCATGCCTTCTTTCTTGGTGTTCCTTACGCCTGCAAGTCCCCTCTTCTCCTTTCTTTGCCCATACAGATCTTAGCTATCCTTCAGGCGCCATGAATCCTTTCTACTGCATAAAACCTTCTCCATCTAGGCCACCTTTTCAGCCAGGACCCCATTGCTCTGAATCTCTTTGTGCCTGTTGATATCATCAATTGGTTGGTACTCAAATGGTTTTCAGGTTGCTAACTTTACAATTGTTCGGTCCCTTTGGCTAGTTTTTATACTGTTTTGGGGACTGGTCTGGCATCTATCTTAGATAGTTTCATACTTAGTTTAATATTTTATAGAGTGATGGCCACAAAGAAGGCATTTAAAATTATCCACTGAATGATTAAAGTCAAATTTTAATGTGTTTGACCTAGAGAAATGCAGATCTTCAAGACTGACGGTGTTGCTTTTCCCCTTCCCAGAGGCCTCTGTAAGCAACTAGTGGTAACACTCAGTTAGACTCCTCGTAGTAATACTGATATCTCCGGAAAAAAAGATTAGTGACATTGGCCTATGGGGTGGCAAATGGTGCCACCCGGGAGGACTCACCAGATATTATGGATACTTGGGTTCCTTTCCCAAATGTGAGTTTACCAGCCGTTCCTCTGGTATTCACACAGCAGGTGACCCCATTACAGAAACTCGCTGGACCTACCTCCTACTTCGATGGGAGAAGCACTGATGTCTCACAGGAGACCGGAGGATCACACACTTTAGAGGTAGACCTTCCGCTCTTTTGTGTTGAGACTTTTTCTCTTAATCCTTTCCCTCCTGCCCCATCCTGCTGTAGTGCCCTGGGTTGGAGGTTGTGATTTCCGAACACCAAGAATTCAGTAGAGCAAAACCCCCCTGCTCAGAGCAGCAGTATCTTGGATCC